TCTTGTTTACTTTTAAACCACAATTAACCACTGGACCGTGGATTTCACAGGCGGAGGCTGATGTACGTAAATGCTGTGATTATTGTCGAAAAGCTGGGTTACACTGAAGCTGCCTGTATTGCCAGATGATCATCAGTAGCAGCAGAACTTCTGCTTCAACCACGCATTGCCCTTTTGTTTGGATAATTTTTCTCTCATGTGTACATTGCCAGTCCATCATCAATTGGTATGATATCCAGATAGAGGACGCGGCTAATACAAAATTTCGAGTATAAAGTGGAATTGCAGAGACAAATACCGGCAATTGGGCATCCATGAAGCACTTATATTAGGGAAATTAATGTATACATTACAAATTCCACATGCAAGGCAAAAGCGTTTCCGAATATATGAGCGTATTTCATGGAAGAATCCTCGGTGATACCCAATGAATCACGGATTTAGGCAAATTCATTGAAAAATCTTACGCGTTTCATATTAATTTTTCCGAAGGCAATGCGAGGAATATTGGGTGGCACAGGTGGTACTGGTTTTCCTCGGAACTGTCGAAAAAAAGAAATGAATGTTTAAAAATGTTTTTACGGACACGTGTACGGATGCAACGAATTGACCATCGATGCATTGAACAAACTCATGTGACTCTAGTTGCTATATTCAAGTTTTATGACGAGGAAACAGTCACTTCAGCTTCACACGTTTGTTGAAACTCGGACTAGCTCATCCAACCGGAAAAATTGCTTACTTTATGAATGGCTTCTTGCAGCATCCTATACTTGGGTGTCGCATCTCCAGCTTCTGATATTGGCGCATCGTAGTCATAACTTGTTGTGGACGGAACCTGATCCGGTGTGCCCGCTGTGTAGCCAAAGTTGGTACCGCCGTGGAACATGTACCTGGCCGGGATTTGGGTAAATGGAATTTCAGTACAGCGAAACTGTGTATTGGGAAGTTACTTGGAGATAAAGGGGATCCGTGCTACCGTCATGTGAATGGAACTTTAAGTACACGAAGTCCAACATTCGTGCAGTCCTTTTATATCAATCAATTCATACCAAAACATAAAAACCCTGTGATCCATCCCCGTATATTTTGCTGATAAAGGCAATCGAGGCGGGTGCTTGGCGGCTATTATAAGAATAACGGTCACCAACAATTGTGGCCTAATGCGACGACTGTTGAACTGGACGGAATAAACTGCTTCAGACAAAACAGGAAAAAGACTGGCGGTAACTTGGCCATATTTGTCGCATATTGAGAAGCATAATCAACTGCAAAGAGAGCAATGTTCTGCTTTAGCCAATCATACTCCAAGTCCTAATTTGTTAGGCCTAC